TTGTAAATAAAATTTCTCATGATGTACAAAATATAAACATTATAAGATAACATACTAAATCTATAATTAAGTAAATTAAGTAGTGGAGATTTAAGTCAAATGGGATAATTTATTGTAAAATTTCTCTTTCGTCGTAAATCCTTTTCAAGGTAAGTTTTTATATAAAAGTTAGTATAGTTAAAAAGTAGTCTCGATTCGCAAATGCCAAAAAGCGTCACCTTCAGAGATTCGCCTACCTGAGACATTTCGCCAATGAAATTATAACAAATTTTCTGCCCAAATTTCCCTTTTTTCCCATCTCAAATTTGCTTTACATTGTAATAATTATACTACTTAAATTGTCAAATTGTATCATACTTAACCTCCGGGAAGGCGCGTAGGGTAACTGTCTATGATTGCAGTTAATGATTTACAGATTTTGCGACTCGAGACAACAGCTTAATATAATAATAAATAATTTAAATAACCGAATACAAAAATAAATTATGTACATACTTTAATTGCAATACGTGTTACATATGAAAAACTGGAACATTTCACTCTCATTTGTGTTAAAAGATAAAAGTACCTTTTTTGTGAAGAAAACATTAATCAATATATATATAAAAGAAAGTGTACAATGTGCATGTCGCTAAAATATGGTGTGATAACCCTCTATCTCCTGTCCATGAAGATAGGTTTCCGTTTTTATGAAGGACGTGCTTTTGAAGATATAAAGACTGGAAGTTTCACCCTCTAGAAATTTCTAGAACAGTCCAGAATATTCGAGAGTATTCGACAACATTCCGGAACATTCTGGGATGTTGTGGAACGTTCAGGAACATCCCAGAACATTTTGGAACATTCTGGAACACTGTCGAACGTTGTCAAATATTCTTGGATATTGTGGACCTTTCGAAGCCTTTTTTGTATAGGTGGAGCTAACTATTGGTAGGGGTATGTAAAGCAAGATCCGTCGTGGGTTCCAACATTCAGAAACATCCTGGAACATTCGGGAATGTTCGGAAATAGTGTGGAATGTCCCAGATCATTGTGAAACGGTCTAGAACAAACTGAAATGTTGTGGAATGTCCTAGAACATTGTGTACTATTTGAAGCATTTTTTATATGGGTGGGCCTCCTTGTGTACCTCTCATATTTTAAAGTTTATTCGAACTACCCTACAATCTCATATCTACTCCCTGAGAGAAGCCGGATACACCAGCTAGTTAAAATAAAAGTGAAGGATAAAATAAATTACTGTATGTTTTTATTTTAATGTAAAATAAGACCCATAAATTAATGCGAATAATACTTTCACGCTTTTTCGTCAACCCCAAAACATCGACAAACCATACGAATCGAATTTAAAACACGAGAAGTTTTCAACTCAATAATCTTGCGAAAGCCTGAAATAGAGTACTTATATTACGCATCCACTAAAGATGTACGGCATTTCGTTCAGGTGTGAATTGCCACACCAGTCCAAGGTGAGAATGACAAGTTCCCAGGAGGGTTACCGTACCTTCCTTCAGAGGTCTGTAAAAAACTGTTTTACTATACCCCTATCCCGAAAGTACGATTGTTCCTGATTCCAGCCGAGCCGAAAGTGAAAGTGGAAACCATGCCGAGGGTGGTAAAGCCGTTTCCTATTAAGGAGCAAATGCGATTTCCTGTTCGTCGCGTCTCTGAAATACATCATACTTTCGGTAGGGGTACGGTGAAAAGTGTCTTTATCTATTATATTAACCATTTTTTCCTTTTTCAGTCTCAATTCTGCTCTCTAAACGTTTTAGCTTTGCTTTAGAATCGTCCAACGTTTTGTTTTTCTTCTTTACATTTCGTTCTTCAGCTTCGGCGGCTTGCCGGGCGTTCTTAACATGCTCATCTGCCACTTCCTTAGCCTTTTGCACTTGTTTAAGTTCTTCATGGGCACTTTTTCGTGATTTTTGGGCGTTATCGAGGGCACACTCTATATCTTTTTGTTCTGACTTCGCAGCCCTTAATTTTTCGTTGGCTTCTCGTATTTCTTCATTCAATTCTGATTCTAAAGCTCCATTTTCTGTAAGAATTATTGAAAAAGTAAATTGATGAATCTTTTAAATATTGTAAAAAGATTGAAATCGAAATAGGAATACAAATTTATTTCATCCACAAAAATTACATAAAAGGTAATATGAGAACAAAACAGTGAAAAATAAAAATAACTAGTATTGGAAACTGTCTATTCACATTTCATTCATTAATATTAATAAGGCAGATAATGATTTATATTATAAAATGCATTTTCAATTAATATATTCTTTATAAAAGCCGCAAATTTAACTAAATGTATATTCTCTATAAACATTGGCAACTTATTGTATAAGACAGCGCCTATACAGTATGGGTTTGACCTATACAGTTCCATTTTATGAAAGTCGTATAACGTCAGGTTATTTTTATATTTTTTATAGGATAAGCGTGATTTTCATTAGAAGTCAATCAAGTTATTAGAAAAGGATAGAAAAATAAAAAAAAAATACATCGTGTAATTATACAACACGCTACTGAAGTGAAACTTCTTCAAACACACAAACAGTTTAGTTTAACGGTATTATTTGTACACTATGCTTCGTACGAGTGCAATGCTGATAGTAAATATACTATAGAATGTCTTTATATACAAATTACAGCTTTTTTGTTATTAGACAATACAAACCGGCCGGTACCGCCGCAACCGCTATGTCCCTGCATTTTAAATCTATAATATCTTCGAAAATATTCATTAAAATTACATGCTGTAAAGGGCCATATTGATCTATATTAAATGCACAATGTATTTAAAAGTACTTAATTGGATAAG